TAAGCTATCGAAGTAAGATTGCCAAACAATGCACTAATTACAGCCGGATAAAGAAGACAATTGTAAGTCAATCCTGCCACTTGGTCAAGCGACTTCTAATTTATATAGTTGAAAAGGTGAACCTAGACTAGCGAAATTGAAACTTATTTGTCGAATCCAACACGACCTGGAATTGTGGATTGTTTGTATTCCTCAATTGATTTAGATTCCCTTGCCTCCAAGTGCTTTCTTATGGTCTTCACTGGCCTTTATTTTTTCTTGTTTTTCCTTGTGATGTTATCATCGAAATTAGGAGTACAGACTTTATTTTCCTTTCATATGGTATTAATTTATCAGTTTATATGTATAATTATTTAAAATTCCATTCGTGCATCTTAAACATCCCTTCCACAGAACTTCGATTTTGCTCTTCGACTTGCTGAGGTGAGCACGCTCTGTGGCCAGCCAGCCATTGCTACTCATCCCATTAGTCAACTGTATGCCTTGCATCTCTTCCATAAGGCCGCATTTCGGGAGGCTCTTGATCTATTTTATCAGCTCAACACCAACCCAATCGACGTTCTTGGCATGTGCGCAAACTTCCTACCAGACCACCTTCGCTCATATACCACTTATCCTGCCCCATTAAAGGTGTCTCCTCTTTCTTAGGATTTTTTATTTATTAGTAACCTAAGTAAGCTGTTATTCTGTGATGTGGGGAAGTAAAGCGAAGCTATTCCTTAGGCAATGTTTGAATATTTGCACTTTAAATATCGAGATTCCCTTCAAAGAAATATGACCTGTGTAGAAAAATTGGTTTTCGAAGCTTCCTTCAACAATACCTTTCATTTCGCTTGAAGAGGCGGGTGGAAGGGATTCGTTAGTTGGTTTACCGGAAGTAGAAGGGGGGTTACCCTGGAGCTGTGACTGTAGATTTGTGCATCTAATTCCTTGGCTTACCGTCCTGAAACCCCGATGGATCTTTGCTGAGCTTTCTTCCGTCATGTGAAGAACATCATCAGCGAAGAACAGTATTCTTTAAGATAATTTATCAAGCATGAAGACAAGAAAGGTGTCTGGCTGCAGTCCTACCTACTTCTTATAGCTTAACTTTACCAACTTAATGGGGCATCTCATGATTAGTTTGGATATCCTATGCTTTTCCCACATGCCTGTTGAAAAGTGAAGTGACTGCAGATGAAGTGTGTAACGGATGCAATTGTGACCGAACAGCTGCATCCTCCCCTAAAATACTTCAGTCGGTTCTTATTTTTGGACCCACAATCCTTTGCAGGATGTTTTATGTTTGGATTACCTTTAATGGATGGGTAGGCAGGTCTCCTCCACATAGACTCTACCACCTTATAGCACACCGATTTGGAGAGGATTCGAAACTCCTTTAATAGATGGAATTATTGAGGAAAGTGTTATATTCTTCTTATACGTTCTATTGATGGCCCGCTTTCTCAGTAATTCATTTATCTTTTTTAAAGGTGACACGACGATAACATCAGGACTCTAGTAGACTGATCCAGCTGCCTATCTTGCCCCAAATAATGCTTCCATCCACTCTATTTGCTAATATTTTAAAGTAATTATCAAGTAATCTTAATGGGTAATCGTTCTCAATTAAGTTTTTCTTGATCACCTTAGTTCCTGGTCCCGACGATTAGCATCTGTTAGATGCAGGCTCCTTATTATCATGGATTTCATAATCCATACTTTAGACCCATAAGTATGGTTTGGAAAGAAATGTAAAAAGAACCAAACATTTGTTGAAGCTATGAAGAACAAGATGGTGTGGCCCCAGGTATGGTCACAGTCCCCTTTCTATTTATAGAAGTAGGTTAATCTCGTTGTCGCAACTTGGTCTTGTTGTCAGGGTGATTTAGTAGAACGCACCTAGTCCAAAGTCGTCTGCCATGATTCCCAGCATCAGACAGTGGACTTGGTACATTCTCAAACGTTTCGCCGGACGGTAATCTACCTTTTATTGTTTGTCCGACTTGGCCCTCTCATTTTTCAATCTACTTCATCAAACTCATATCAACATCTCCTTCATTTTTTCTGTGTTGGCTACTTGGCTCATCAACCTTCGAATCAATAGGACTGTCTTCATCCCTAATAAGCATAAGCTCAAATGCCGGAATAAAAATTGATAACAACAATAGATAGGTACGT